AGAAGTCAACACTGACTGGAAGGAAGGAAGGAAGGAAGGAAGGAAGGAAGGAAGGAAGGAAGGAAGGAAGGAAGGAAGGAAGGAAGGAAGGAAGGAAGGATTTATATGACCAGTCCTCAAATGCATAGGTCATGCAATGGTACCAAATCCAAGACATTCTTTGGGTCACATTTGCTTAAGGGTGTGATCACCATTTTCTCTTCAAAAAACAGTGCTTCTTAGATATGGTTGGATAACATCCAGTTTTGCTGCATTTATGGCTCTCTACTAGGGGAGAACAGACATTGGTGGGACTAAGCTGTCTGTAACTAACCAGGAGGAAGATCTAAGGGTCATAGTGGATAGCACAGTGAAGATGCCAATTCCATGCGCAGCAGCTGTGAAAAAAGTAAATTTCATGTGGAGATCATTAGGAAAGGGATTGAAAATAAAACACTGTAAAGCCCTTATACAAATCTAGGGTACATCTGCATCTGGAACACTGTGAACAGTTCACCACATTTGAAAAGGATGTAACAGAGCTGGGAAAAGTGCAAACAAGGACTACAGAAATGGTCAAGGGATTCAAATGCTTTCCTTTGAGAAAAGGCTAGACCTTTGAGGACTAGGAAAAAAGGCTTAGTTGGAAATATATGAAATCATGCAGGGGTAGGGAAATGTTTTTATCCCTGTCTCAAAACTCTAGGACCAGGATTATCCAATACAGATTTAGAACAGACAAGAATAATTCTTCACACAGCACATAACTCATTAATTACCATAAAACAGGGGCAGTCACTATCTTGGATTGCTTTGAAAGGGGTCTGGATACATTCATGGAGGACAAGTCTATCAAGGGCTATTTGTCTTAAAGACTCAATATTACCTCTGGGTTGGAGGCAATAGCCCTACAAATGCCAGTTGCAAGGAACAATGGGGAGAGAGGGAAATGTCTGTCTCTTGATTACAAGATCTCAGAGGCATCTGGATGGCCACTGCAAGAAGCAGAAAGTTGGGCTAAAATGGGCCATGACCTGATCCATTTAAATAATGTAGGGTTTCCACCAAAGATGGCAATCTATTTTAAAACTGAGGCCTTCAATCTTTTCCTAGCAGGTGAACTCAGAATTCACAGTCATTTCAGTGCAATTCTGAAGATCCTAGGCAGAAAGGGGGCAGCACCTGAAAATACTTACTGCAACTGCATATCTGGTGACATTGTCTTTCTCACTGCCTTCAATCGCCTTCTCAAGATCTGGGCTGTCATGAGACTCTCCATCAGTGATAACAATCATAACCTTCTTTGCACCCTTACGTCCTCCTTTCTGAAATGCTTCTGAGCTGAAATTCAAGAGATGCAGAGGAGATAGTGAGGGATGTGGCATTTTGCAAATGAAACATGACCATTTTTCGAGGAGGAACTCTGTGCTGTGGGTCCACGCACAATGTGATTTCTGTGGGCTTTGTTTAGAAAGCAGGTGCATCTTCCTTTGGGCATCAGCAACAGGGAGGGAAAAGCCAACATCAAGTAACACAAAAGCCAAGAGCCATTGCTCAAAGAAAGCAGAAAGGAATGTTTTACAATGAAATATTTTAAAGGTGACTTCTATTTCCTCAGCTCATTTCCTTTGGAGCAAAAGAATATTTAGAGATAATAAACTCCCTTTGTTTATACAAGGCTCTGGATTTTGTTTATACTAGATTCAAATTCTCTTCTTGTTCTGTGATCTGACACAAAGAAACTAGCACGCTATATTCTTTTTACACTCATCTGCTGTTTGTAAAAACAGACCAGCTGATTTCTGGGGAGGCTATGGCACAAGATAAATCAGAGACTGAGAGAGAGAGAGAAGAATGGGGCCTATAAGAACTGTCACTCTCTAGGTTCTTGCATTGTGGGGCATTGAGAGTTGGCAGTATAACGATCAGAAAGGAACCTGCTTTGGCAAAGAGTTATCAGATATAAAAAACAAAATGCGGATTATTGAATGAAGAACAGAATTATTGTTCTTTGACTGTAATTGAATGCAATTGGTGTGCTCCATAATTTCTAGAGAAAAATGTCCGGGTTTTCATTTGCATGATATATTAAGTAGTGAAAGGAAAAAAACACACTACATAAACTAGATGCTCTCTTTTTACAGTTACTTTGGGGCCTAAGGACTCTGGGTTTTAGATTCATTAATCTTATTCTAGTCATTTCCTTGTCTCAGTATTTCTCAGCAGCAAAATAGGATCAGTGTCCTCTAAATGATAGTGCACATTGGTATCTTCTATAAGGTTTAATTTGCTTTGTAGCTTGGAGGTTACCTCACTGCCTTGGCCATTAGGATTTTGGAGCTAATATGCATTATTATTTTTGCTGTCTGCTTATGATGCATTTGAATCAGAATGTGTCTATCCATGGCCTACCAAACCTGGGTTAACCTGTTAAGCTCTATTACTGCCCCCTCCATGCCCGCCTACGAACATCTTTTCATCTGAACAGTATTGGAAGGTATGCTTACCGAGCAAACTCTATCCCAAAGGCTGTTCGAGTTTCAGTACCCCCTCTCTGCTCGATGTGTTTAGCAGCTTCCACCACATCCTTTACAGACCTATAATCATTCAGGTGAAATTCATGGACAGCATCCTCTCCATATTGGACAACTCCAACCTTAGAAAACATTGGAAATTATTGAAGTGAAAACACTGTTTTTATGTTTTTTCATCCTAGTGACTTTTCAATGTGCCATTAATAAAATGATTATTCAGTTAGGACACATTAAATATAGATGAAGAAGCCTATAGAATGTATCATAAGCAAATCCAGCTTCTGAACATCTTTCTTGTCTGTCTTGTGTTACTTTAAATCAAGACACCGTAACTCTTTTTAGGCCAAGTATCCTTTGAGCAATATGCTTAGCCTGTAGTCTGAAAGAGCCAGAGCCAGGATAGAGAACAACATTGGATTTAGTTTCATTTAAAAGTAATTTAATTTAATTACTATGATCACATGCCATACTTCTAATAATGTCTCCTTCTGTCACATTAACATTATAATTGGATGGCGATTTTTGAATGCTTCTTTGAGGCCTATCTTTTGCAGGTCACATTCAGCCTGGGACCTCTGTTGCACCATCCAGCTTTAAGTCAGTTTACCATGAAGTCCTATACATGTCTACTCAGAAATAAGCCCCACTGAGTTCAGCAGGATGTATTTCCACGTAAATGTGTGGATTCAGCAGCATTCGAAGGTTGTGTGTGTGTATTGTATCAAAGTCAATCCAACAAAGCAGCAACGGACCAAATTAAGATCCGTTCCGTTTGGACATGCATCACACAGACACCTGAAAAGGGTGGATATTGTGGTGGGAGAGCATCATGCTGCTTGTTGTCATTTTGATGACGGCCATCAGAGCTGCAGATACCTGTATGTAGATTACAGCTTAAATTTTACAAACTATGTCCCAGATGCATGACAACCAGTTTGTTACAGATGACAAAGCCGTTTTTCTAGTTATTTTTTTTTCCACAGCAGTCAACAGATGAGTGGTAATTTTCTGTTGTCCGATGAGAAAGTATTTATTTTCATTGTGCAGTGCTTTGGATTCAATGGCCAAAATATGCTTTGGAATGTGCAAACGTCTTAAAGCAGCTGTGCCTTTTCCCGGGTTCGTATGGCAGCCCTCTGCAGCTGCTGTGCAATGTTAGGAAAAGACACAGGTACTTGAAAGAGTTGCAGACGGGGCTAATGACTGTGTGCTTCAAAGCACCTTTTGCTTTCAAATCCAAATGTAGTGCAGCCTACTATTTATGACCTGGTGGTTTCCCAATAAAGTTAGCTGAAGTCATTTAAATATCAAATTCCAGCAAAGTGAATCAAGGTTATAATGTCCAGCCAACACTGGAGATCTCTGCTCCAAAATATGACCACAAATCAAAACCCTGCTCCTATGTGAGCAGCTCAGGATCTTTGTATTGAGAGACTGCCAATTATGCTTTTAAAAATAAACAAATTTTATTCTTGAAGCAAAGAAGCAAGGAAGAGGTATATCAGCCAAGGAAAGCTATGAAATGAAGCGTAGGAAGAGCAAAATCACCCACACGTTTTCTCACCTGTATTTGGCCGGGTCCAATGTAAAATTTTTTCAAGATTTTTATCAGGAAATCTTGAACTTCTGCCCAGGGGTAGATGCTGTTGGATCCATCCAGTACAATAATTATATCCATGTATGTCTGGCATTCTGAAACCAGATAGGCAAAGATCATTAAGCGATATTGGCTACTAGCAAGAAATGGAATAGGCTGCCAATTCCTTTCCCCTTGGAGCAAAGGAATCTTGATTCATAGGCCAATCTTTCCTTCTCCTATTCTGAAATCTCATCCCTCCAATTTTTTCTTGGGTCTATTGTGTTTCTATTCTATGTTATAGAGGATACCTTGGAATACAGCAATACCAGACATTTAACAGCGCAGTTCTATGTCTGGCTACTCAAAGTCCCCTTGAATTCAATAGAGCTTCTTTCTAGGTAAGTTGTCCACCAGAGATGAGCAACTTTTCCTGAGCCAAGGGCCACACTATGAACCTTCAGTGCTGTAATGGACCATGCAAAAAGCAAAATGGATTTATCCAAATGTATATTTAATTAAATTTACATCACAATAATTACATACAATTAAATGGTTGTTCCTCATGTTTAAAATTACAGTGGGGTAGCAGTTTTTGGAGCTGCTGGAGGACATACAAAAAGCTTTTGGCAGCTACATGCTGCTCTGAGGCTTAAAAATACACACACTGCTGGTGTGCAAAGTAGGAGTCTAACGCTGTTCAAAAGTATCCATTCCTTCTCTCCCAACTCTCTCTCTCTCTCTCTCTCTCTCTGTGTGTGTGTACACACCAGGGAACAAAAATGTTAGTGCCTCATCAAAGTACAATTCCCACATTTTATTGAAGGAAGCCATGACTTTTGAACTGGTTTAAGTTATAGTGTAATACTGTACTTATCTAAGCTTACCCTAAAACAAGCTTCCTAGCCTAAACACCTTATTGATAGGTGGACCACGGCTCCCAGAATTTCCCGTCATTATTGAGAATTCTGGGAATTAAAGTCCACACAACTGATAGGGTTGTGTGGTTAGCATAGGGTTACCAGATTAGAGCTGCAAAAATATGGACAGTTTCTAGATGGCAGCAAAGAGATCCAGACAGTTCTAAATGTGCAGAGTTGCAGCCCAGATCCAATAGCACTTCAAGGCAATGCTATTCTCAATTAAGGGCTCATGGTTGCAGTTTTCAAACTATGGCACAACATGCCTAGTTTCCATTTCAATATGCCATACCATACCTTCATGCCATCTTAAAACTGTACTTAGCTTAAAGACAACTTCAAATTGTCCCTGTTTAAAGTCATATTTAGTTGTTCCAACTTTAAAGTAGGTTTTCACTCTTCATTTGACATTTGATGTAGGATCTTTCATTGACAATGTAACTGATAATGTGGTTTGTAGCTGGAGGCATGGAAGATACTCCTTGGAGCCTTCCCCTGATATGTCAAACAGAAGATTTCCCTCTCACTTCCCTCCTTCCCCCTCCCTCCAAGCTATGTTCTAGACATGGATTTAACTTTTTTCAAGCTAAACCTGCTAGATCTCTTTTCAAATATAACCTGACATGTCCCAGGTGAATGCTGGTGACCTGTCAGTTGGCAAACCCATCATTCAAAGCACCTGGCTATACTATTTAGCCCCGTCCTCCCTGTTAAGAAGAACAACTGGTGGTTGGTTTTCCCACTAGCAGGTAACACTTGGTGGAAGGGAAAACCAAACCAGGCGAATCTACTAAGCATCTTCCTTAAGTTGTCCTGCATTAAATCTGTGAGGATAGCACTTCTCGCTGGCTACCTTACTGAGGCAGAATAGAGCTTGGCTGTAAGGGCAGCACAATCAGTGCCAGCGCATATTCCGGCCAGCTCTTACTCTGGAGGAAAGTATTTTAATGCGGCTACCAGCCTGTGCCTAGTTTGCATCATACCAGATGCTACCATGGAAACTGCTTGTGAGCAATGCCCATCTCAGTCTGTCGATTTGCCTCTCTTGGCCCTTCTTAGCAAGGGATGATGGGGGACATATTTTCTCTCCTTTTTTTGCACATTGAAGTCAGTGGTCCAGGAGTGCATGAGGAAATCTAAAAGCCTGAAATAAACCTTTGGATTATAGTTGAACTGATCAGCTTTTCTGCCTTGAATTAAAAGCATTTTTCCATCTCACTACCCATCATTCCCTTCTTTCCCCATCTCACCCTAGCAGGCCTCAGCTTTGAGAAAAATGTCTGGATTCCCACCAGTTCTGAAAGGTGCTGCCTTGCAGAACATGACAGAGGAGTGGCTTTACATATTGATCTGAGGCATTAAAAGAGGGGACAGAATTAATCTCTCTCCCCGCAAAGCAGGGCTGGATTAAGGTCAACTGATGCTCTAAACACAGCTCAACAATGGTGCCCTCATTGCTTAAGTGACAAGACATCAAGACTCAATAAGTGCTGAAAGTCAAGCATGGCAGTGAAAGAAGTGCATGATAGCTAGGGAGAAAACTCAGTGGCGTCCCCTTTCCTTGGTGCCCTGAGCAGTTGCTTACTTTGCTTAATGGTTAATCCAGAGGTGCCCCAAACACTGAAAGGGGGACAGAAAAACCTGAGCTGCAGTAGATAGCTTCTCCTCTTTGATCAAGAATTAGCCTTTTGAAATTCTCCAACAAATGCGTGGGCTTAGAAATAGGTGGAAGATTGTTCCTTTTTTATTATAACAAAGGTGTCATCTACGTACTACATGATTGTCTGCCTTATGTTTTCTTGGGTCTCTGTGTTAAGTCCTGTAGTTTGAAATGCTGCTTCTAAGGCTGCACAGAATTCTAGCTGATTAACATTGTCCATGTTGTAGCTGAGGCCTTTCTGGGGAATATTGTATTCTGCAGTGGATAATGGTCGGCTGGACACGTTGATTACCCATTCTGGTTCAGGTACCTCTTTATTTCTGGGGTTTAGTTTGAGCAGTTTAGTTTGAAGTTTTGTTTTTCTTTTCTCAGCTTGTCTTCGGGATGTGTTCTTGATGGTAGCTGTCAGTATATTTGTATGCTCTGGGGTCATGGTTTTAACACAGAGACCCAAGAAAACATAAGGCACATCATACCACAGATCAGAATAACACAGTATCAGCACCAACTCAAAGCAGAGGACAGAGCAGCCCTCAATAGCCTAAGGAAG